TTACTTATTATTGTTTTATAAATTCCGAGTACACTTATTTAATATAGAATTGATTATATACGTAGGTTGTCTTTGATTTAGCCTTATTAAATACATAAGGTAAGTGATTTACATAAATTTATAGATTGTGATACAAGGTTTAATTGGATATACTGTTACATTTTTTCGTTAATAATAAAAAAAAAAAATAATAATTTTCAACTAAGAATCTCTTAGTATTAAAATCAACTTAAAATTAAAGAACTCCTAAAATCTCACTGGGCCAATGGAAACATATGCTATACGATTTATAATTAATGTGAATATTAAAAATATTGAGATTAAATGCTAATACCTGCTAATAAAGGTAGTTTAAATATCAATTAGTGATATAATTAAGATTTGAATCTACAATTATCGTCTTAATCCTCTAAATAAACCAAATTCGTTACAAATTTGCATTCCCTGACAGAAATATTTGAATGTAATAATGGGTGACAAAAATTATTTACACAATAAAAAAACATTTTTCCTAAAATAAAGACAAATTTATAAATTGTTATAAAATGCAAAATTCAACGATTGCAAGAAAATATGAATATAAAAACAAATTTACAAAAACTATGAAAGCTTTATTATTATTAAACATTATTGGTTACATTTATAATACATTATATTTTATTTTACATTTTATAAAGCTATCTTTGGGGGGGGGGGGATTTTGGGGGTCGAATCTCTCCCTAAATATGTTTTCTGTAAAAACAGGTTTTTTTAATCATCCTAAAAGTATAACATATATTTTTGAAGACATCTCCAATAGTTTGGTCCCTAGGTACTTACAATTTTGTTTTATCGATAACTAGTCTTAAATAATATCTTGATAATAAAAATTATTATTGATAAAAAGTGTACATTAAAGGTGCCCCTTTTGGCAATATAATTATTAACTCTGTACTCTTTTAAAAAAACACCCTTAACCCCTCTAAATGAGAAGTAAATTTTAACATAGGCATTACATTTGAATTTTGCAACCCTGAAAATGTATAAGTTAATTTACTATGGAGTATTTCAAAGTAAAATTAGAAAGATATTAATTTTTACCGATTTTTTTTACTTATATTCTAGACTTGTGTGTGCTATGGCGTAACCATGTGAACAATTCACTATATCCGTACATTCGTTATTCGAATACCCGTTTTCACGAATACCCGTACATTCGTTATTCGAATACCCGTTTTCACGAAAATTCGTACGTGTTCGAATAAAACATTCGTGTATTCGTTACACGAATACACGAATGTTCGCTTTCACGTACTTGACTGAGACCTCTAGTCGAGACCACTATTGCCCTGAAAATGGACTCTGCAAAGAGTCCGAAACGTCGGCACAAAACATTCGACGTGGATATATCCGAAACTCACTTAGTTGAAATCAAATAAATGTTTGCTAATTTTAAATTATCATAATAGTATTTGGAAAAATAATAATTATAAAGGTTGAACAAATCATGAATAATCTATTATACGTTTATAAGTACATCATAGACATTTTGTACACTTGTCCAAGGTCTATGTGTTTTATGTACACACTGCGACCATAACTTATAAAATGTACTATTATAATTCCTTAGGCTATACTGACCTGTTGTGGACGTTGACGATTTATCCACAATGGGTCCACCTAATTCAACAATTTACAAAAATCACGTATAAATTACACAAATCATAAATATACTTTTTCAAGTACTTTAGTGCAGTGTTTGCATAAATAAATCTTCATAATAAACATATAGAACATAAAAAAACGGTTTGCTAATTTTGAAGATACATTATATAATAATGTAAGACAAAAGAGATGGTACGAACTTTAACCTGGGAAAGTGTACAGTGACAACCGAATACTATAGACTGATGACAAGCGTGGCGCTAAAGTCTACTGACAAAAAAAGCGTTGAAATCTATTGTCTTCATATTTAATTAACTTTTGCGATTAATCATTGTTTCCATTTATGTTTACTAATTTAGTTGTTTAGTCATAAGCCTCATGTCACCGGAAGCACTGCCACTATTTTTTTTTATAAAAATATCATGTTATATTTATGATGATGGTCATCATATAACAGTAAAAAAATAATAATAATTAAGTAGATGTATTTTCGTTTTACGCATTTTAATAGTTATTTCAGTACAGCTTTTTTGACGTTGAAAGGTAAATCATTTTCATAATAATTTGTTTAGCTTTGGCAACTACACCGTTAGTTCTTACTAAACTAACCGTACTCCCATTCTTAACGATAACATTATAAAATAATTTAGTACGAATTTACTAAATAAATAAATGGATATGGCAATTATAGTAATATATAATATAACGTACCGTTAATATTGTTAGTCGTTACTTACCTGATGGCATACCTCGTGTGACTAAATTAAAATAATAAAATTAGGTATTAATCTAAATTCATACTTGTATGCAAAAGTTTTTATTGAAATTATGCATAGATCATTTACTAATTTATGTGATCAACATCAATCAATAAAATATGCCGTTTAATTTAAATGACTCAAAATTATAACTACACTAAATTGTTAATTTCGTATAGTCATTCAGGTAATGAAGATGTGCAAATAATATAAAAACAAAAATTACCCAACGTTACTCCCAAGATGATGAAAGCTGTAAAAAAAATAACAAGTTTCTGCATAATGTGTTAGTGGACTTTTTCAATCTAAAAGACACCTTCCGATCAGGAACCTATAAGTTTTACAGGCGAAATTGTAATGAACAATTAACAAATTGGTTTTGGCTTAATAGTGAGTGTTGTTCAGTTTTTACGAGCATTGGAGTATGAAAGAATGACGCAAACGATTTTCTTTTGAACGGTAAAAAACACTTGTTCAAACTGACGTGTGATCGCGAATTTCACTGTAGCCACGCGGTTGACTATGAACTCGAAATTTCACTGCACTCCTATACATTTTTACAGTGATATGGGGAAATTTTGAAAATCAGTAACCATTACAATGTACTGTTAATTTAAAAAACTTAAAATCATAAATACTCAAAATTGATAATTTCGTTTAGATAACCTAACATAACGTTTTACTTAGGATTTGCCAACAAATAGTAACAGAAAAAATACAAATACAATGCGGTCGTTGTTTTATGTGTATCCACACATCTGAATTTTCCACTCTTCCGGTCACATCTTCTGTCTCCTTGTTTGAATAATATATCACATGTCTTTGCCAAAATCGCATCAAGACGTTTAAAATCGATTGCAAAATTTCACACACACACACACACACATGTCTAAAAAACAGAAAATAAATGTTTAAATTAAAAACATATTTTTAATTTACTAAGTTTTCAAAACTGATTAAAAAGTATAAAATAATTTGAAAATATGAAAATACTTGTAAGATACTCTAAAATATGTAATAGTAAATTTTATGACTGATATTGAAATACACTTAAAGTGTACGGACCTCAGAATTAGCGGTAAACAATATTTGTTTATTCAATTAGAAAACGGATTGAGTAACCCAAAAACATAGTAAAAATACATAGTAATTATAAAAATAAAGAGAAGAAAAACAACAACAAATCAAACAATAGCTAATGTTACAGGTGCAGTGTTGAATATTAATAAGGAGGTGCTCAGGAGTCAAAGTTAGATTCTTCATTGGCCAAATGCATTAGACGGTGAAGAAGGGTAGGTTAGATAGTTAGTTAGTAGTGGAGAGAGTGGAGTATTATTTCTTAGTTGACGAGAAGGCACTCTTAAGTTGATATCAGCCAGGAGCGTAGGAGAGTCAACATGGCCAGATGCAAGTTTGGTAAGAAATAACTTGCGGTAATGACAAAAACGTCCGTGCAAGGGGCATGGGCAGGCAATAACAAATCAAATAGCAATCGAGATATTGCGCCTGGAAACTTGAAGGTAGGCAACTTAGTAGGCGAGGGTGCGTAGTGGTATGAAGTTAGCAATGATATGAAATATCGATATTAATATCACATGGGTATTAATATAATGTACTAATATATCATGATAGAAGATAGAATAGGTACAATTTCCATTTTCCAAAACTTTTATCTGTTTTTTAAACTGACGGTGAATATTGGTTTTAATGTAGTCACATAGTACTAACGAAACAAAATGATTGTAGTACTTGGCTACAGTTTTTTTTTTACCAGATTAAATCAGATAGTTAATTATCTAGTTTATGATTTAATTTAGATTAGCATTTTTTTTCACCAATGTCTGATTTATAGAGTCCATTTGTCGTCAAGCGGACACAACGAAAATCCGACCTTTCAAACTACATGACAATATTATTGTGATAATATTAGGATGTTACATTTTGGGGATTGCGTGCGGTTGGTTTTTAAGGAGTTTTGTATAGGCAATATTTAAGAAAAAAGTGGTTTTAATACATTTCGACCATGCCAATTAATTTACCGGTTAATTTTTAAAAGCATCATGGTATTATTTTTAATTTAAATCATTTTGTCTATGAATAAAAGCCATTTTAGTTAATATAATAGTACATTTTTTGTTCCGTTACACAGGCTGAACCAGTGATCCGATAAGTAATCTGAAAACGGATTTGAATTTGTCATGAAGTTTACTTATGATCGGTCAGGGTACTTTTTTGATATCTTATTCCTACTTAGTATAAAACACGTTTGAACATTATATAAAATTTCAAATTTAAAAAACAAATTTGGAAAGGGTTAAAATTAAAAATTGAAAAAAATACCCTGACCGATCATAAGTAAACTTCATGGCAAATTAAAATCTGTTTTTAGATTGCTTATTGGATCACTGGTTCGGTCTGTGCAATGGAATAAAAATGATGTGTTTTGACTGAAAAAACCGACCGCATGCAATCCCCTTAAAACACACTATTTAAAACGTACCTACAAAAATTAGTCAGTTTATTCTAAATAACAAATCATTATTCAATAGGTGAATATATATATGTATTGATAGGTAGAACTAATAAAAAACAAGATACTTTAATTGGCCGCAGGTATTATAATTTTATTAGGATTTAGTGAAATAAATGTTGTTTTAGTAAAAGTTTAAACAATTTAATAAGAAATATTCTGTATTGTATGTAAAGTAACTGGATTTTTCAACGACAATTTTGGATCTTTTCTGTAATTAAAAACGTTATTATTATTCATAGCTCAAATAGAATTTATTTTTATAATATCATCATTGTTAAAATATATAAATTCTTTATAAATATTACAATTGTACCTTTAAAGAATATCCTTTGAAATTACCTTTACGTCACATTTTTGCAACATAATACAAAATTTGCAGCTTGCTTCAGTCGGTTTATGGAAGCTACACAAACATTTCAGTGATTTAACATTAGATATATAAAATGTAAAAGTGTATTGATATTTGTAATTGATATTAGTATACAATATTTAATGTCAGAAAAGTCTAACTCACATACGTTCGCCGAGTTAAAATATCAGTACCTATTCTAATTCGTAATAAATTTTTTTTTTTTAAATTAAACATACCTTTTTTTAATGCTGTTCCACATTTGCCACAAACTTAAAACAATTATAAATAAAATTAGCTGTGTAAAGTTGATGGAAATATATTTTTGGGATTATTAACATGCAGCGAATAATGCCAGAAATGCTGAACTCGCAAATGTTTACAAAGTTAAGCTATTAACTTATTTTTATTTTTTTATGGTAAGTATAAGAAAACGATAAAATGTTTTTAAATAATTTGTTTATAAAAATACACGTTGTTGTATTAAACATTGTCTGGCACCTACAACACTTTGCGTTACACATTTTTAATGAATTATATAAATCTATGACTAATCTATGCTTTGAAAATGTTGTTAAATAAAAAAATAATTAAAATTATTCATTGACAGTTTATACTATCTTTATAACAATTATACTACAAAAAATACAAGTTATTATAAATATTGTAATTATTTGTCTGTAAATGAAATTTAACTAGTTATACATTTTTATAAATTTGCAACTCAACTATTAACTGTATTTATTTTAGTATTATCACTCAATTTATGTGACCAAAATTAATTCTCACACAATTAACTAGATCAATGCAGAAACATTATTTTAAAAATATATATAACTTCACATAGAAAACTTCCCAATTAAAGGAACTGAAACAAAGTAAAAGATGATATAAAACATACCGGGTATTACATACATGCCACAATTGGCACAACCTAAAAACAATTATAAACTATAGTATTTTAAGTTGAACAAGGATCTGAAAAATAGGCATTTCTTGTTAGAAATCAAAACTTAAAAATAAACAATAATATGTAAAGTATTAATCGAATAATATATACATATATGTATATTTAATACCGTCATAAAATATAAATATTGTGCTCTAAGTTGAGTAATTTTTTATATATTTAAATTTACATTTAATTTTTTAGATGTTAAGGGAGTTTATCTATATCCAGCGGCAAAATTTTAGAACATTTTGATGTGTTACCAGTGGTTTGAACTTATAAGTTTTAAAAAAAATGTTTGACATAACTCTAAGAGAGAAGAATAACAATAATAACTTACATAAAATTATATAAAAAAAAACCATATTTAAAGTATATTATACTAATTAAAGTCTACAGTAGATAACTACTAACTATTCTATCATCTAGACTGACCTTGTGCATCATTTTGCTGCGGATTATTCAATTCTTCTTCAATTAATATACCGATTTCTACAAATAAAATAATTAATGTTTTATTTTGAAACAATGGCCTAATTTATTAAAAAAAGGTCTACTTATAAAAATGAAATGTATCTAAAGAAAAATTGTATTTCCCTATTTACAACCTCTTCTATTTTTCTGACATTTAAATAACGAGTACATTTTAACATTAAATTCAAATTTTATAATATTTTAAGTACTTTATTAAGTTTTTAAGATGAAATTTTTTATGTATTTAAACTCTACAGTCTATACTGACCTTTTGATGTAGTCGAACTGTATCTATCTAATCCAAAAAATAACACATATCAAATTTTAGAAACTTAAGTGACATAATAGTATGTAAAAAAATAATAACAATAAAGACATCATTAATTACAGAATTTTATAGTTGTTAAGAGGGTTTATCTATTTCCAAATAATATTAGCAACTTTTGATTTGTTTGCCGGTGGTTCGAACTTCAAAGTTTTAGAAAATAATGTTACGGAAACACTGGGGAATACAATAATTCTAAGAATGAATACTAACGTTTAGTATTGACATAAAGGTACCTATGTAAAATATTACAATGTTTCAAGTATATTTTACTAATAAAAATCTATAATAGATAACTACTAACTATTCTATCATTTAGACTGACCTTTTGCATTTTTTTTCCGCGCAATATCCAAATTTTCTCTAACAAATTCACCAATTTCTACAAATAAAAATATAATGTTTTCTAAATTTAAATTGGCATAAAAGTATGTAGAAAAATAATAATAGTTTTCAATAGAAACCATGTAGTTCAGTGATTCACAGAAAAAATTTAAAAAACAATATATCATTAGTTCCGAATCGAAGCTAAAACTAAGTAAAATGTTTAACGTGCCTATATTTGATAGTTGTTACTTACTTTGTGGTTTTGGAGCACGTTGTGGGTCTAAATATAAAAAACAATCTTAGGTATCAATATAAATTCATAGTCGCATAAAAATTTGTGTGTGAATTAAAAAAAGAACTTTATAATATATTCATGTTATCTTTCATCAATACATTTTGTCATTAAATTAAATACCTTAAAGTAATGACATATAAAAATTATAACTTAAAAAAGTTAAAACTATAAGGTATAATTTAACAGTATCTAAAGAAAATTATATAGAACTTCACATGTAGAACTTCCCAATTAAAGAAACAGAAACAAAGTAAAAGATGATAAAAAACATACCTGATGTACTAGCTTGCGTACAAGTGGCACAATCTAAAAGCAATTATAATATGTTAGGTGTGTTAAAATTATTATAGATTTTATAATATTAATTGGTTTGACGGAAGTATATTTTTTGACTTATTTACATTTACCATAAAGTTATGTCATGAAAACTAACATAACATTTTTAATTTAAAAAAGTTAATACCTAAATGAATAAATGAACAGTGTCTAAAGAAAATTTGTTTTTTCTATTTACATTCTTGCCTTTATTTATGGTATTATCACTCAATGGAGCGACCAAAATTAAATTATCGTATAATTAACTAGACCAATGCAAAACATCACTAAGCCAATTAAACGAACTTCACATTAAGAACTCTTGAATTAAAGGAACTGAAACAATGTAAAATATGATGAAATACATACATTGTGTTATAGCAAATCCGCAACTGTCACAAACTAAAAATAATTGTAAACCATATTAGGTGTGTTAAAAATGATTTTAGATTTTATAATATTAATTATTTTATATTTGACCGAAGTATATTTCTCGACTTATTTACATTTACTTTAAAGTTATGACATAAAAAATAACATAAAAGTTGAAACTTAAATGTATTAATTAACACTATCTAAAGAAAATGTGTATATCTCTATCTACTTCTAGTACGATCAAAATTAATTCTTATATAACTAACTAAGACAATGCAAAAACATTGCTAAACAAATAAAAATAACTTCACAATAAGAACTTTCCAATTAAAGAAACTGTAACAGAGTAAAAGATGATGGAATACATACATGGTGTTATAGTTTCCCCACAAGTCTTACAAACTAAAAACAATTATAAATTATGTTAGGTGTGTTTAAATAATTTTAAGATTTTATAAGAATAATTAGTTCATGTTTGAGAGAAGTATATTTATTCACTTATTTACCTTAAAGTGTACCATAAAAAATTACATAAAAGTTATAACTTAAAAAAGTATCTAAAAAAGATGTGTATTTCTTTATCTACTTCTTTGTTTTTACTTTTGGTATCATCATTCAATAGTGCGACCAAAATAATTTTTACATAATTAACAATATCAATGCAAATGCATTATTAAAAAAATAAAAATAACTTCATATTAAGAACATTCCGAATTAAGGAACTGAAACAATGTATAAGGTAATGAAAACATACCTAGTTTTATAGTTTTCTCACATGGGACACAAACTAAAAACAATTATAAACTATGTTAGGTATGTTAAAATAGTTCTTATATTTTATAATATTAATTAGTTTATGTTTGACAGAAGTATATTTCTTGTCTTCTTAACATTAACCTTAAAGTTATCATAACTGCATAGTGCAACCCAAAATTAGTTTTTATATAATAAAATATATCAATGCAAATGCATTACTAAATAAATAAAAATAACTTCCCATTGAACACATTCCGAATTAAGAAAGTGAAAAAAAGTAAAAGGTGATGAAAAACATACTTGGTGTTGAAGTTTTCCCACAGCTATTACAAACTAAAAACAATTATAAATTATGTAAGGTGTGTTAAAATGATTACAGATTTTATATTATTAATTATTTTATATTTGACTAAAGTATATTACTTGACTTATTTACACACACCTTAAAGTTATGACATTAAAAACTACCATAAAATTTTAAACTTGAAAAGTTAAAACCTAAATGTATAAATGAACAGTGTCTAAAGAAAATTTGTATTTTTCTATCTGCTTCTTTGTCTTTATAGTTGGTATTATCACTCAATAGTGGGACCAAAGTTAAGCATCGTACAATTAACTAGATAAATGCAAAACATTATTACACAAATTAAAATAACTTCACATTGAGAGCTTTTCTAATAAAGGAACTGAAATAAAGTAAAATGTGATGAAAAACATACCTTGTGTTGTAATATGCTTACAGGTGTCACAAACTAAAAACAATTATAAAATATGTAAGGTGTGTTATAATTATAGATTTTATAATATTAATTAGTATACGTTTGACTATTTAGTATATTTTTTGACTTATATACATTTACCTCAAAGCCATGACATAAAAAAAAACAACTTATTTAAAAAAGCACAGACTTTTTAGGTAGATTATTAGCACCTTTTATGTGTTTGCTGGTTGTTTGAACTTACAAGTGTTAGAAAAAGGTTTTACGAAAAACACGTAAAAAAAAAAAGAAAAATGACAAGTATAAGAACTGTTATAATGGTATGAAAAAAATAATGAAATTATTAAAATGCAATAATTAATGTCTTCAATGGGTAACTGTATTGTCCATATTGTACTGACCTTTTGCGTTCTGTGGCTGGACCTCATCCAAATTTTGCCTACCTAATCCAACAAACTAATGTTATTGCTAACTTTCATAACAGTATTTTTTAGAAAAATAATTATTAAATATGAATCTTTTTTATACGTTTTTAAGTACTTAAGTGCAGTGTTGACATAAACAAATCTTCATAATAAACATACATACCATAAAACCGTTTGCTAATTTTAAAGTTACATAATACTAAGACCGTAAGATCAAAGAATGGATATGAGGTCGAATTTCCTCCTTCATCCGGTCGCTTATAACATGACGTTTAAGAGCTTTTGCAGGATGCTGGCAAAGGCACTGGTCCAAAAAGAACACGTGGGATCAACGGCTGAGTGATTACGATCCTAACAATTGGTACACTTTGGCACGTTTTTGGGGGGGGGGAGGGGGAGGTAAACTGAGAATTTTTCTAAATCCGCGAACTTTCTTTACCTACACTCGGTAAGTGTATATAAAATTTACATTTTTTAAAATAAACTGCAAAGAAAGGGGGGGGGGGAAATATCTACATACAAATTGGTATTGTTAAACTTTAGCAATTAATCATTTTTTCATTTTTTTTTTATTAATAATAATGTTTAGTCATCGGTCTCAAATCGCCGGAAACACTGCCCGTATTTATTTTTATAAACGATAAGAAGTAGTTGTATTTTCGTTTTACACATTTCAATAGTAATTTCAGTACAGCTTTTTTTAACTCAAAAGACAAATAATATACATAATAATTTGTTTAGCTTTTGTAAGTACACCGTTATTCTACTTCTACTCCCATTCTTAACGATAACATTACACAATAATTTAGTACGAATTTCTTAAATAAAAAAATGTATGTGGCAATTATAGTAATATATAATATAACGTGCCGTTAATATTGTTAGTTGGTACTTACCTGGTGGCATACCTTTAGTGACTAAATTAAAATAATAAAATAAGATATTAATCTAAATTCATACATGCATGCAAAAGTTTGTATGGAAAATATGTATAGATAATTTACTGATTTATGTAATCAACATCAATCGATAAAAAATGGCTTTTAATTAAAATGACTCATAATTATAACGACATTACATTGTAAATTTTGTATAACCATTTAAAAAATGAAGTAGTGTGAATAATATAAAAACACAAATTACCCAACGAGACTTCCAAGATAACGAAAGCTATAAACAAAAATGAGATTTTCTGCATGATGTTACATCAAAACAGACAAAATTCAAATGAAATATAAAAACATTATTTTTTTTTTTTGCTTAATAGCGGATGTTATTCAGTTTTTACAAGTATTGGTGTATAATTGTATGACGCAGACGGTTTTCTTTTGGACGGCAAAACACTTGTGCAAACTGACGAGTGGTCGTGAACTTCGTTGAAGTCAAGCGGTTGACTACGACCTTGATATTTAACGGCATTCCTGTTCAATTTTACAGTACTATAACGATATTTTGTAAATCAGTAACCATTACAATATACTACTAATTAAACATTTTATATAGTCCGAGAAATAATATTGTAAATGTCTGGTGTTATTATTGGATAAGGGTAGACATTTTTTGTGCATTTAGCCCCATACGTAAATTGTAAAAAAATATACAAATATACATGGCGATTATTTTTTTACATACCATCAATTTAGTTTATTCTCTGGCATTTTGACTCACTCTTTTCGCTTCAAAATCAAGAAAAACTACAAACAACTTTAAATATTTTTACTTGTTGTTACGAAAAGCTATAATTAAAAAAAAAAATTAGTTCCCTTAATTTCATGGACAATAACTAAGAAAATTATTTTCTAAATACAATCAACATTATTGTATAGCTTTTAACAACCCAAATAATATTGAAAGGAGTGACGTCTTTTTCTTTATTTTTTTTTCGAAATGTGTTTAGATCTACCATGAGTCGAAAGTAAGAAAATGTAGACCTCAGGTATGATCGGTCTGGTATTTTCACTACCTACATGACCGAATTTAACAATTAACCAAACGTTTATTATGAAACATTTTATTTTTAAACCTCTGCACTCGAGCTAAAATTTAATTTAATTTCCATCAAGTTCAAAATAATTCACACAGTTTACTATGCATTCAGCGTTTATTATAATGTGATTTTATCAGATTAAGTCAGTGTTCGCGCCAATACGTTTTTTTACCAATAATTTTTGGCAACAATTTTTTTTTATAAACGGCGTTTAAGATAGACTACACGGAGCACATAAAATTGCCTATTTTACAGCCGTTAAGGCACCTGTGATCCTATTGAGCACAAGCCGGTGGTGACCACAGTCGGTATAGTGGGGTCGAGGCATAATGGGATCAAAGCATAGTGGGACGGCCAAATCACAGGTATACAAAAATTATTATAAATAAAAGTAATAAAATAACTTTAAAATAAACGCATTGATGCTAATTTTTAAAAACTGCACCTCACTTTAATACTTTTTCACTGTGCTGGTTCATACTAGCTTGTTTGGACTTACTCGTTTGTAAATACTGACTACTGATTCGCATCAAAGCGTTTATTTTAAAGTGATTATATCACATTTAGCTGTAAAAAATTCTGTAAGCCGGTGACCTCCCCATTTCCACTATGCCCATACCCTAATTGTACCATAACCACCCTATGCTCCGTCCCCACTATGCCCTCACACCATTGTACTGGCTTTTTTAAAGACAAAATTCTTAATTTTTGGTATCAAACAAAATGTTCCGACACCATATTTTTTTTTAAGCACAATGTTTAACTAAAATTTATTTAATTAGATTGATTGAGACAGTTCAACTACTTGTTTGTGATTTTACTAATTTTGTGCACCAATTTCTGATTTATACCATTTATTTGCCGCCCAGCAGACACAACGAAAAGCCAGCCTTCACACTACATGACAATCACACTGTGATAGCATTATGATGTTGTATTATTGTCGAAACACACTTTTTAAAACGCACCTACAAAAATCGGGTCATTTATTCTTGATAACGAATAATTTTTCTATGAGTGAAATCATAATATATTGATAGGTATAATTAGTAAAAAACTAGACATTATAATTAGCCAGACATGAACATTTTATTATGCATCAGTGAAAAATACAACTTTAGTTTAATAAAAAACTATTTTACTGTATTTAAATACTACTAGATTATTCAACGACACTTTTGGATCCTTTCTGAAATTAAAAAACGTTATTATTATCATTCATAGCTCAAATAAAATCAATTTTTATAGTATCATCATTGTTAAAATATAAAAACGCTATTTTACAATTATATCTTTAAAATATCCCTTGAAAATACCCTTCCATCAATTTTCTTTGCTTATAAATATTTTATTGATAAGTTACTATGTTTAAGATTTTTTTACAGTTGTTTAGCTAAATAAGTATTTAACAGAATTTATTTAACAATTTTAAAAATTGCCTATATTTTTTTTTGGAAAAACATTGTTATACAGTGACATTTTAGTATTGTCTCTTCAAAAGTAAAATTGCATAATAACATTAATAGTATTTAGTATTACAAATATTTTATTATATATTAATGTAAGTATATTATTTTACCTATTGAATATTATATATAATTAATTGTTAGGTTAGGTTACCTCGTTGTTACAAACAAGAACCATCACCAGGAGTAGAACAGAAACCTCTTTTACATTCACGTACAACTTTGCTGAAACCTAAAAAAAAATTGAGAATTTTACAACACTTTTAAATGTATAGGTAAAATTCCATATAATTTACTTCTTAATATCTAAAGCCATTTTATACAATAATAACGATCAAAAATGTACTTTAATTTAAGTCATAAATATACAAAATATAAAATTATATTAAACATTTGAAATATTATAATTAGTATATACTTTTTTAGTTTATTATTTGTTTTTTTATTTAATTTGTATTAAATTGTACGAGAAAAATTGAAATTAATAGTTTATTTTATTAAAAAGCAAAAGCAATAAAATGAAGAGCACGCTGTTTTTTAAAAAAATTATTTTTGATCTGTTATTATTTAGCTAAATATTACATTTCATATAGCGTCCGGGAAGACGATGGTGGCAACAGAAAATAATAATAGTTTTTTGGTTTCTCACATCTGGTTCACCGTGAATGGAGATAAAAATGAAAAAAAAAACACCAAAACTTGAATTTTAGTAATTAAATCTTACTAGAATCACCCTCAAGACGTGTCCATAAAAATATTGTCATGATTTGGTAACTTTTTCTAAGATTTAACGTGATTGTGTTAAAATATACAAAATCAGCGGAAAATACAGTTTTAATTCACAGAATAAGAGTTCGAACTCCAGACAAAATTTTAACTAAAAAGGTCTAAAATTACGGCTAAAAAACCCCCCCAAAAAAAACAACTGAAATTGGTCATTTATTTAGTTGCTACTCGAAAGAATTAGTCCAGCATTAAAAAAGTTACAGTGTATACAGACATATAAGATGCCCACATCATTTTGAAACCAATCAACCATCAATATTTTATTTTATAATACTTACTTTTTTTTAAAGATTTTCCACATTGGGCACAATCTAAAAACAATTAAATATTAATAAATAAAAAAATTAGTCGAATAATATATACTTATATGTATATTAAATATTGACATTAATATAAAATTTTATAATATTTTGGTTCTGCTCTTAGTTAAGTACTTTATTAAGTTTTTAAGATTCCTTCTAATCCAAAAAAATACACATGTCTAATTACTAATTGTTAAACATAAAGTGACATAATAGTAAGTAGAAAAACAATAACAATAAAGATATCTTTTTTTACAAGATTTTATAGTTGTTAATAGGGTTTATATATTTCCAAATAATATTAGCAACTTTTGATAGGTTTGCTGGTGGTTTAAGCTTTAAAGTTTTAGAAAATATTTTGACGAAAACATGGGGGATTACAATAACTCTAAAGGAGAATAATAACAATAAGAACTGACATAAAGGTATGGAAATTATAACAATGTTTAAACTATTCTATCATCTAGACTAACCTTTTGCATTATTTTGCCGCGCACTACGCAAATCTTCTTCAACTAACTCACTGATTTCTACAAATAAAAATATTAATATTTGCTAAATTAAATTGGCATAATAGAATGTAGAAAAATAATAATTAAATAGTTTTAAATAAAAACCATTGGGTAAAGCTTTTACAAAAATAATTGTGTAAATCTACACAGACATTTTTTAGACTTATTTGGTTAGGTCAGGTCTTTGTGCTTCATACACACACTTATAGGATTAGTGGTTAGCAATGTTTTGATAAAAGTTAGAATAGGTATCATTTAAATTTTCCAAAACTTTTATCCATTTTTTTTTTTAATACCACTTTTAAACAATTTATTAACATTACTTACTACATTTTTAATTTTTAGTTTTTTGTTTAGCAATTTTTTTTTCATTTTAATAGAGCAATATTTAGTCTTTTGATGAACTCATTTGACTTGTTCTTAAGAAGTGTTAGAACCTCGTGATTTGAATTTGAAATTTTTAAATATTTTTTTTAATTAAAGAGGAAGTCACCTTTTTATCTCTTATCTTTACGTTCCTTCATGATAAAATTGGTTTAGCGGTTTAGATGATATCATGGGAATAAAAAGCCTTACTTTAAAAAACTATAAGTCTTCACTACGCATTGAAGCTAAGACTAAGTTATATGTTTAACGTGTCTTAAATATATAGTTGTTACTTACTTCGTGTTTTTGACGGATCTTGTATATCTATATATAAAAAACAATCTTGGGTATCAATATGAACTCATAGTATCATACGAAAATTTTAGAAAATAACTCTATAATACACTCAAGTTAACATTTAGCAAAACATTTTGTCATTTAATTAGATACCTTAGTGTTATGACATAGTAAATATTATAAAAGTTATATCTAATAAGTTTACATCTTTTCACACAAAATTAATAAAAAACGGAGCACTATTGACTCTGAAAATGGAATATTAAGTACATTGTTTACTGTTCAAAAGGTAATGAAATGTATGCGTTGCTATTTAAGTTTCAAAAGCAGTGCACGGAAAGTACGTGTTCTCTCGACCGCTGTTAAAATGGCACATTATTTATAAAGTTATTAAAGTTTAAAACTTAGGGCAGGAGGAAAGGCGGAGAGTAGTATTATTAATGACTGCACGCACTTTCCAACCACACAATCCCTCTCATTCTAATTACGAACTACTATAACTTAATTTAAAACTTAAATAGTTGTTTAAAATAGGTAATAACTACTCTATGATCTATACTGACTTAGTTCATTCATTCGCCGCGTATTTTCGAGTTCCTCAACATTCATTTCGAAAAAGTCTACAAATCAAATAAATGTTTGCTAAATTTAAATTGTCATAATAGTATTTAGATAATTAATAATTATATAGGAAGGATAAAACATGAATCAAGTATTATATGTTTCAAAGTACGTTAGTTTCCATTAAAAAATATATAAATTATTCTTTAAAATGTTGTAGACTTATCGATGCTATTATCAATATGTGACGATATTTTGATAAAAAGATAAAATAGGTATCTTTCCCATTTTCCAAAACCTTTATCTAACAAAAAAAAATTTAATCGATATTTATTAATACCACTTTTAAGCATTTTACTATCAATGCCTTTAGCCTTTTTAATTTTTGTTTTAAAAAAAAAATATATACTTCTAATGGACTACTTTGACTATTTTTTACAAGTGTTAGAGCCCCGTGATTTGAATATGAAAAGTTTGAATATTTTTCCGACATTAATAGGAAAGGGGTGACCTTTTTAAACGTTTTTCCAATAAAGTGCATTTTAGGTACGATTTCTGATCTATTGTTTCCTACATGAAAAAATCGGCCCAGTGGCTTAGAAGATATTATTATGGGCATAAAAAGAAATTTTTTTAAAAACCAGAAATCCTCACTCCGCATCGAAGCTAAGACTAAGTAAAATGTATAACGTGCCTTTAACTGTTAGTAGTTACTTACCTTGTGAGCTTGACGCACTATGTGGGTCTAAATATAAGTAAAACAATAATTAGGTATTAATATAAATTCATAGTGCCATACAAAATTGTGAGGAAATTGAGAAAAGAACTCTATAATCCCTTTAAGTTTACATGATGAGTAGCACAATCGGTATTGCGCACCGATATATTTTTTAAAATAAATTTAAATAATTATTATGGCCGCAAGTTTAACCGTGGTCAACAGCAAATTTAACGTTTGCCGTTTGTAGAGGGCGACTTATGTTACAAAGCACATGCGTGCCTTAACTCATAAACCATTACAAAATTTGAAAGGAAATAACTTAAAAAAGGTTTGATCGGCTGACTCAAAACCAGCACCGGTCCGAACGCAAAAAAAATATATATTTCTAATGGACTACATTGACTATTTTTTTACAAGTGTTAGAGCCCCGTGATTTGAATATAAAAAGTTGAATGATTTCCCGACATTGCTTTTTAGGTACAATTTCTGATCTATTGTTTTCCTACATGAAAAAATCGGTTCAGTGGCTTAGAAGATATTATTATGGGCATAAAAAGCCATTTATTTAAAAACCATAAATCCTCATTCCACATCGAAGCTAAGACTAAGTAAAATGTATAACGTGCCTTTAATTGATAGTAGTTACTTACCTCGTGAGCTTGACGCACTACGTATGTCTAAATATAAGTAACACAATTAGGTATTAATATAAATTCATAGTGGCATAGGAAATTGTGTGTGAATTGAGAAAAGAACTCTACAATCCATTCAAGTTTACCCGGTGAGTGGCACAATCGATGTTGCGCACCGATATGTTATTTTAAATAAATTTAAATATTAATTATAGCCGCAAGTTTAACCGTGGCCAACAACAAATTGAACGTTTACCGTTTGTAGAGGATGACTTATGATATGTTACAAAGCACACGTATGCTTTATCTCATAAACGACTATACAATTTGAAAGGTTATAACTTAAAAACTTAAAAAAGTTTTGATCGGCTAACTCAAAACCGGCACCGGTCCGAACGCAAACTTTTTACATCTCACACAAAATTAAAAAAAAACGGAGCACTACTGACTCAGAAAATCGAATATTAATCAGTAAGTAAGTAGTGCTATCTCGACCGCAGATAAAATGGCACATTATTTTTAAAGTTATTGAAATTTCAAGTTTAGGGCAGGAGGAAAGGTGGAGAGTAGTATTGTTATTATCTGCGTGCACAAATGTCCAATCACACATCCTAACTATTAAACTCCTATAACTTAAAACTTTTTTTTTTTACATCAGAAATATACAATCTGTACAATGAGCACAAAAAGCATATATGATAAAAGTAGAGATAAATTACATGAATACATTTTGATGGAAGAAACCACTCATTAGTGACACTTCCAATATAACTTAAACTAAAACTAAAATAGTTGTTTAAAACTGGTTATCCACCAATCAAAATATTTAGTACATTGTTCACAGTTGAAAAGTTAATTAAATGTATAAGTTGCTTATTAAGTTTCAAAAGCTGCATTTTTTTAAAATATACAATTATTAAAATCTACAATAGATAACTAGGTAATACCCGCTCTATCGTCTATACTAACCTCGTACACTCGATCGCCGCGAATCCTCTAAATCGAACATTTCTACAAATCAAATAAATGTTTGCTAAATTTATATTGTCATAATAGTATTTAGTAAAAAAATAATTATATAAGTTGAAAAAAACATGAACCATGTATTATTCATTTAAAAGTACGTTAGTGCAGGGCTTCCATGAAAAAAAATGTTTAAATCATCATAGACATTTTGTACACTTATCTATTTTTGGTCTATGTGGGACAATATTTTGATAAAAATATAAAATTAGTGTCTTTTCCGTTTTCCAAAACTTTTATCTATTAGAAAAATGTTAATAGATATTTTTAATACAGCTTTTAAGCATTTTATTAATAATGCCTACAACATTTAAAATTTTTTGTTTATTAATAATATAAAAGTAATGTGCATAAAAAACAATTATTTTAAAAACTATAAAACCTCACTCCGCATCGAAGCTAAGACTAAGTAATATGTATAACGTGCCTTTAATTGATAGTTGTTACTTACCTTTTAAAGTTAACAAATTTTGTGGGTCTGAATATAAATAACAAAATTGGGTATTAATATAAATTCATAGGCACATACAAAATTATGTATATTTAAGAAAATAACTATTATACATTCAAGTTAATTTCTATCTATACATTTGTCATTTATATAGATACCTTAAAGTTATGACATTAAAAATATATAATATTTATAACTTAAAAATGTTGAAACAATAATTAACATTTTATATACTAGGAAGTATGTCGCAATATAAATATGCCGTTTATGTTTATAATAAAAAGACTTGGTTAGTAAACAAGAAACCTTGTGTCAACCATGTTGTTTTGGCTTAAATAGCATTTGTTTTAAAGGGATCCTAACTCATTCAATCTATAACGTTTTTATGTATAACGTGAGTGTATTATTGTTACACTGTTTAATATATGCTATGTAATTTTGTAATTTATTATTGTAATATGTATTTGACAATAGTAGTGTGTTTAATTATTTAAATTATTCGTGTTTTGTTATTTATTTAAATACTATTTCCACTCGCTTTCACTCTTATATTATATTATTGTATGATATTTCATCAAAACATGTATTTTGTTTTATGTAGATTATTAGAACCTCTAATATGTTTGCTGGTTTTTTTAACTAAATAAATTAAGCGAATTGAGTTAATGTTTGCTAACATTAAAAAATCAAAATAGTATTTAGAAAGTAACAGTTAAGTAAGTTTTAATATAATTCGGTGATAGCGATTTAAGGTTTCTGGGGAGAGGGGGAGGGGTGGTAAACTTAGAATTTTCTAAATCAAAGTACTTTAGTGCAGTGTTGGCATAAATACATCTTCATAATAAACATATATAACATAAAATAGTTTGGTAATTTAATAGTTACATTAGTGTAATGTCGTAAGACAAAAGAGATAGTACAAACTTAAACCTGAGAAAATGGACAGCGGCAACCGAATACTGTTGACTGATGACAAGTAGTGCACTTAAGTCTAGTGTTTTTATATTTTTTTTTTATTTAACTTTTGCAGTGAATCATTAATCGCACTTCCACTGCCATAACTTAAAATAGTTGTTTAAAACTGGTTATCCACCAATCAACATATTTAGTACATTGTTCACAGTTCAAAAGTTAATTAAATGTATGCGTTGCTATTTGAGTTTCAAAAGCTGATACCAAACAAATTAAGTAGGGAGGCGAGTATAAGCAAAAGGAGAATACAAAATACTTTATGGTCCATACTAACCTAGTTCTTTCATTCGCCGCGGATTATCGAATTTCTCACCTTTTAATTCGAAAAAGTCTACAAATCAAACAAATGTTCGCTAAATTTAAATTGTCATAATAGTATTTAGAAAATTATTAATTATATAGGATGCATAAAACATGAATCATGTATTATACGTTTCAAAGTACGTTAGGGTTTCCATAAAAAAAAATATAAATCATCATTGAAAATTGATAGTCAAACTCCTTAACTTTCGAACTACCATAACTTAAAATAAAACTTAAATAGTTGTTTAAAACTGGTTATCCACCAATCAAAATATTTAGTACATTGTTCACAGTTAAAAGGTTAAATAAATGTATGCGTTGCTATTTGAGTTCCAAAAGCTGATACCAAAAAAATCAAGTAGGGAGGCGAGTATAAACAAAAGGAAATTACAAAAAATTGAGATCACATTGTATAAACACATTTTAAAAGAAGAATTCAATTTCTTATTTAAACCCCATGAGATATTGATTGGATTACAATAAAATTATCATCCTGTTAACTAATGACGTGGTTCGAGGAAAATCACGGGGGAAAAAAGGCTAGTGAGATGTGACTGAATGTTTTATAAAATAATAACAATTAAAAAAAATATATACTGGTTAAAGTCTACAATAGATAGTAGTAGTAAAAACTACTCTATTATCTATACTAATCTCGAACATTCGTTCGCCGCGCATCATCGAATTCTTTATCACCTAATTCGACAATTTCTGTGGAAAACCATTATTTTAAAAACCATAATTCTCATCGAAGATAAGGCTAAGTAAAACGTGTAACGTGCCTTTGAATGATAGTTGTTACTTACCTCGTGAGCTTGACGCACGTTGTGGGTCTACATATAAAAAAAAAAATAGGTAGCAATATAAATTTATAGCGGCATAGAAAATTGTGTGTGAATTGAAAAAAGACTTTATAATACATTTAAGTTAACTTTTATCAATACATTTTGTCATTTATATACATAAAGTTAGCTACATTAAAAAAATATAAAAATAATAACTAAATTATTTATAAAGATTTAGGTAGATTATTAGCTCCTCTGATGGGTTTGCTGGTAGTTTGAACTTAAAAGCGTTACAAAAAGTTTGAACAAACCAATAAAAATAATTACACATTAGGAACTTTCCAATTAAAGCAACGGTATGAAAGTAAAATGTGATGAAAAACATACCTATAACTTCCCCACAAGTGTCACAAACTAAAAACAATTATATACTATGTTAGGTGTATTAATATAATTTTTAGATTATATAATATTAATTAGTTTATGTTTGATAGAAGTATATTACTGATATATTTACATTTACCTTAAATGACATAAAAGATATAAAAAAGTTACTATAGTAAACTAACTATAGTCTATGTACGGACCTTTTACGCCACTTGGCAGCTCCGAATCCTCATTATCTGAACCTAATTCAATAAATTATACAAAATAAATTAATTTTTGCTAACTTTAAATTGTCATTATAATATTTTGAAAAAAAACAACGTTACTTGTAATTTTAATAACAATTTTGTGTTATTCGTTTTAAAGTACTTTAGTGCAGTGTTTGCATAAATCAATTTTCATAATAAACATAATATGTAACAAAACTTTTTGCTGGTTTTAATATTACAATAGGGTAATGTCGTAAGACAAAAAAGATGGTATGAATTTAAACCTGGGAAAACGGACAGCGACACCGAATACTCTTGTCTAGTGTCTTTATATTAATTTAACTTTTACAATAAAATATTATTTCCATTTTTTTTTTTTTACTAATTTAATTGTTTAGTCGTCGGCCTTAAGTCACCGGAAGCACTACCCCTATTTATTTTTAAAAATATATCATATATTGATGACGTGGTAACCATTTAAGGCCCCTGGATACCGACCATTTTTAAGGAGTTTCGTATAGGCAATATTTAAGAAAAAAGTGGTTTTAATACATTGCAACCATGCCAGTTAATTTACCGGTTCATTTTTAAAAGCATCATGTTATTATTTTTAATTTAAATCATTTTGTCTATGAATAAAAGCCATTTTAGTTAATATAATAGTACATTTGTTGTCCATCGCACAGGCTGAACCAGTGATCCGATAGGTAATTTGAAAACAGATTTAAATTTGTCATGAAGTTTACTTGAGATCGGTCAGCGTACTTTTTTGATATCTTATTCCTACTACGCATAAAACACGTTTGAACATTTTATAAAAATTCAAATTCAAATTTGGAAAGGGTTAAAATTAAAAATTGAAAAAAATGCTCTGACTGATCTCAAGTAAACTCCAGAGGCCTTAACAGTAAAAAAAAAATGTTTTAAACATTTGAATCGTTCATTTAAAAAACAACATAAGTCACCGATTTTTTAAAAATGACGGTTTGTTGATTATATACTTAGTGCCGTGTTTTGTGTGAAAGTTAAATTTGTCAAACTCATGTTTAATACAAATATTGATTACAAGAAATTAGAATCACTAGTTATGAAGTTTTGAAGTTTTTTGTGGCTAGTGTAAGACTTCAATGTCGTTTTTGAAATGATCGATTCATTTTAATAGTAATTTCAGTACAGCTTATTTTACCTTGAAAGATAATAAGTAATTTTCATAATAATTGCTTTAGCTTTGGTAACTACACCGTTAGTTCTTACTAACCTAACCATACTTCTACTCCCATTCTTAACGATAGTATTAACAATAATTTAGTACAAATATCCTAAATAAAGAAATGTATATGGAAATTATAATAATATACAGGTTGGCACAGGAGGATTTGACTAATTAAATAACTTTTGTTCTAGTGAATATTTTTAAGATTTTTCTTTTAAAAATAATTTATACTCATTTGTGCTATAAGCACTACGGTTTTTAATGCACTTAACTATTTTACTTTTAAAAAATTTTTTTTTATTTTTCGTTACATTTAAAAAAAAAAATGTTGTTAAGAATAAATTGCTGAACATTTTGACTGGTCGACAACCAGATTTGGATAATTACTTTTTAAGTTACTAAATGTTAAAGAAATAGGATGGGAAGTGGAGTGCGGTAGAGTAAGCGCGTAGAGCTATTTTTATCTGCGCGCATTTCTCTACCGCACTCCACCTCCCATCCTACCCTTTAACCTTTAGTAACTTTTAAAGTAATTGTTCAAATCTGGTTATCGAGCATTTAAAATTTTCAGCAAATTATTCTTAACAAAATGGCTATCTTGAATTTTTAAATAAAAAGGTAATAAAAAAAATAAAAAAATAATTAAGTGCAATAAAATACATAGTGCTTATAGCGCAAATGAGTATAAATTATTTTTAAAAATATTCACTAGAACAAAAGTTATTTCATTTGTCAAATCTTTGTGGGCCCTCCTGTATAATATATCGTGTGTTAATAATGTTACTAGTTATTACTTACCTGGATATGGCAGACCTCGTGTGACTAAATTAACATAACAGAATTAAGTATTAATATAAAGTCATACTTACAAGCATAAGTTTGTAAGGAAAGTATGTATAGATCATTTACTAATCAATGTAATTAACATCAATTAATACTTTGTGCAAATACTGTTAATTTTGTATAATCATTTAAAAAATGAAGTAGTATAAATAGTATAAAAACACAAATTACCCAACGAGACTTCCAAGATAATAAAAGCTATAAAAATAATAGCGATTTTCTGCATAATGTAGCAATGAAATTTTTTAATCTAAAAAGCACTGTCCGACAAGGAATCTAAAGTTTTAGACAAGCAAAATTGAAATGAAGAATTTACAAAATTTGGATTTAATGTGAGTGTTGTTCAGTTTATACTAGTTAAAACACTTGTGCAAACTGACGAGTGGTCGTGAACTTTATTGTAGCCACACGGTTGACTATGAACTCTAAGATTTACTGTATTCCTATACGATTTTACAGTGGTATAACGAAATTTTGTAAGTCAGTAACCATTACAATATACTGTTCTGTTAAAAAAAAATAGTTAAAAATAGTTCACACAGTTAAGTATACATTCGATCTGGGTCAAAGTACCGAGAACGTAGATTCACGCATCTGTATGTACCACTCATTGAGTCATACATTCTGTCTAGACTTGCAAAGCGGTTCTTTTGTAGCAAGCCACATTTTTGTCTACAAACTGTATTCAAACGAAACGGTGATAATAAAATTGGGCAAAAGTAATAATCTAGTTTGCAAAGTTGTATAACTAGTAAAAAACAAGGCTTTTTCAACTGGTATAAGTTTATCGGTTGCAAAATTTCACACACACACACATAAGTCTAAAGAACAGATAATAATTATTTAAATTTTTTAAATATTTGTAATTTGTCACGTTTTTAAAACAGACTAAAAAATATTAATTCATTTAATATATGAAAATACTTGTAAGATACTCTTTATGTAAATGTACATATTTTATGACTAATTTTGAAGTACACTTACAGTGTACAGACCTCGGGATTAGTGGTAAACAATTTTATACATGCCTTAAAGTACTGGCTTTTATCAAACATAATCCTTTCAACTTTGACAAGTTAAATTAATTTAATTTGATTGGTTTTAGATAGTTCGTCTACTAGTTTACTATGCAATCAGCGTTTATTATAAAGTGATTTTATCCGATTAAGTCAGTATAGTGGGGTCGAGGCATAATGGTATCAAAGCATAGTGGGACGGACAAATCATAGGTCTACAAAAATTATTATAAAAAAAAGTAATAAAATCACTTTTAAAATAAACGTTAAAGTGCTAATTTTTAAAAAATACACCTCACTTTAATACTTTTTCACTGTCCATATTATGCTTGTTTAGACTTACTGGTTTGAAAATACTAAATAATGATTCGCATCGAAGCGTTTATTTTAAAGTAATTTGATCACATTTAGCTGTAAAAATTCCTATAAACCTGTGACCTCCCCATTCCCACTATGCCCCTACCCTACTGTACCGTAACCACCCTATGCTTTGTCACCACTAAGCCCTCACCCCACTGTACTGGCTTTTTTAAAGATATTATTCTTTATTTTTGGTATCAAACAAAGTATTCCTA